CACTTGCTCTGTTTTGTATTTTCTGGGTTTTTTTTTCTTTCAGGCATTTCGTCAAACACCTTGTCTGTTATTTTTCAAGGTCGAGAATGGAAAAGCTCAAGCTGCTAATTTTCCGTTTTGTACGATTGAGCCCAATGTTGGTATTGTTGCTGTTCCTGATTCGCGTCTTCAAGTGCTATCTAAGCTTAGCAATTCTCAAAAAATTGTCCCTGCTTCTATTGAGTTCGTCGACATTGCTGGTCTTGTTAAAGGTGCCAGTCAAGGAGAAGTGAGCAGATTCGTTTCATTTCTCTTCTCTTCTTTCTATCTGAATATGTTATACAAACTCACAAGTTTGAGTTTTTGTTTTTGTAGGGTTTAGGCAACAAGTTCTTATCTCATATCCGAGAAGTTGATTCCATCCTCCAGGTTTCAGTTCTTCTCTCCTTTTTCAGAGTTATCTTCTTATTTTCTCCTCATTCATTGCTCTTATGTTCATTATGTTTTGCTTTCAGGTGGTGAGATGTTTTGAGGACAATGACATTATTCATGTGAATAACAAAGTTGATCCCAAATCTGACATTGATGTGATCAATCTCGAACTTATCTTCTGCGATTTGGATCAGGTACACTGAGAGCCCTTCTTTCCTCACTCTTGTTTCGATGTTCAATGTCATGTTCGTTTCTCGAGCTATGCATTTCCATGAACAAGTGCATACCCTGCCTGGTTTTTCTTGATCTTGCACAAGGGAGAGCATACTATTGATATTCTTTCTTATCTCTGTTCAAAAGACTCTAGAACACTGTTATCTTAAAATGAGATGATGAAGCTGATTTACACCTTTTTGCAAGCTATACAGATTGGTAAAAGGATCGAGAGACTTAAGAAAGGGAAGGGCAAGGATTCACAATCCAAAGCCAAGGTAAAGTTCCTCCAGAAACTTCTGAGTTCTCATATACTTCATAACTTGGTCTGCTGAAGTTCACAAGAGTATGTGGCATTCTGTGACACAGGAGGAAGCTGAAAAGGCTGCTTTGGAGAAAATTCAGGAGGCCCTTTTGGAAGGAAAACCTGCACGGTCAGTTGCATTGACTGATCTCGAGAAGGAAGTCGTAAAGCATCTCTGCTTGCTTACAATGAAGCCTATGATCTATGTGGCGAATGTTGCTGAAACTGACCTTGCTGAGCCGGAGAAGAATACTTTTGTTGAAGATGTGAAGGGTCTTTCTTCGGATTTGCAGTCTGGACATGTGGTTGTTTCAGCACAGGTTAGGATCATTGTCTATTTACATCTTATGCATTGAGGTTTTCATACCTGAATTTTCCTTAAAGAATCTTCCTTCCGTGTAAGCAGGTTGAGTCTGAGTTAACCGAACTTCCTCTTGAAGAACGGATAGAATATTTGAATTCTCTAGGTGTTAGCGAAAGTGGCCTCGGGAACCTTATCAGGGCAACATACAGTTTGCTAGGTTTGCAGACGTACTTCACTTCTGGTGAAAAGGTGAAGAACGCAATACAAATTCTCAAATCACACAAAAACTTAATTTTCAAACATATTCTCTAAAATGTTCATTCTCTATGGCAGGAAACAAGAGCATGGACAATACAGGCAGGTTAGTTTCCAATCAGTAGGGCTCTCTTAACACTTTTGTTTTTCCGAGGAATATGAGAAATTTCTATGGATACATACAGGCATGACTGCACCACAAGCTGCTGGTGTCATTCACTCTGACTTTGAAAAGGGTTTTATTAGAGCTGAGACTGTAAGCATTTTTATTCTCTTAATGAATCTGTAATTAGTTATGCTCCCTATTCTAAAAATGACCTCATGGTCATGAAAATTGGGAATTGAAAGCTTCAAGTGTCTAGTATTTGCTTTCATCTCTATCGGTTTTTCGTTCAGGTTGCATATGATGACTTTGTCTCTGCTGGATCTCTTGCCGCAGCAAGAGAGAAAGGACTTGTGAGTTTCCTTCTCATGTCCATTAGTTGAGCTGCTTCGTCATGAAATATCTCTCAATTCTGTTTTGTCACTCGGTAATGTTCTTGGAATTGATTTGTTTTGCAGTTGAGATCAGAGGGTAAAGAGTATATTGTTAAAGAAGGAGATGTGATGCTTTTCCGCTTCAACGTATAAGAGAACCCTGCTGAGTGCTGAGATCTCAATCACTTCTTTTCAGAACAATACAGGTTGTGTTTTCGGCACGGTCTTTTCTCACACTTGAGTTTCATTTCTTATCTTGATTTTGCAATATATAGTTATTGGTATATCTTTCTTTTGATTTTTCACACATTCATGGGGTTGGCAAAACTCTGAATATAGACCAATCATTATAATGAACTAAATTGTTTTTTATTTTTATGATACACAAAACGGTCAAATAACTAACTTTAAAAATTATTCAGTACAAAAGCAAAATAATGTAATCACAATCACAAAAACCAATAACAGAAATTGTAGAACAGAATCAGAATAATAAAGAGATCAATCCCTAGAAGGCGCAATCCAAAACGCAGCATAACAACATTGCATCCAAACTGCAAAAGAAAATCAAAACAAATGTTTCAATATACCAAACTACAAAAGAAATAAGCTCAATCGTATACACAAAAAATAAACTTGCAAAAGATTCATAGAAATAATTAACATATGATATGAAATGATTTATAAAAAAAAAAGAATATACAATCCAAGGAAAAATCCCCGACTGCGTTTCCTTTGCGACTGATGAGGCTGCACAGTTTCAGGAGTGTCCTCCTTCATCTTCATTTCTGCATATGCAACATTGGTCCGATTAATTAAATTATATGACGTGAGAAACTAACCTTAACATATAGTATATATATCAATGAGACTTGTATTATTATATATGTACCTTGTTGCTGAGCCATTTATGTATGTATAATATGGAGTTAGAAGTGAAGATGAATGATATTTTTTGGAATTTTGTTTTTGCTAAATGATATTTCTTGAATAGGTAATGATTTTTACAAGGCTTCAAATTTCTTTGTATTTATACATTTCTGATTTGCCTGTTCTTTGGAAACTTCCGGTTTCTCAACGACTTAACGACGACGTAACGCGTTTCGCCGATTCTGAAGTTTCCAAGTCAAACTTATGCGTCAACGGACGTTTTCTCGCTGCCATTTTGATAATTACGGCCCATAATTAATTATTTGGGCCTCATGTTCAAAATCACAAATGAGAATATATCAAAGATAATATGCTTTGTTATGGTTTCTAGATTACCAATGCTTATTCTGCTCAAAATGATTTTTAACTAAATGGGATATAAGATGGGATAATAAACAAGTGTCAATGGAATGTTACTCAGTTTCTGTTCCTTTTATTATATGAAGAAAATATGATTTTTTTTTTTTTTTTGAGAAAAGACATTCTTTCAAAAGCGGGTGATCGGTTACAAAATGAAAACATTACAAAAAAAAACAACAATAAGACAATAGCAAATAGGATACCGAGAAAATAGGATATTCCTTATATGGACAACAATCAACATTGAGTTTCATTTCTTCTCTTGATTTTGCATTATATAGTAGTATATTTTTCTTTTGATTTTTTAAACTCGGAGCTAGAAAGTAATTTTTTTATGTGAAACAAAGATGAGATTCGCGAAACTAAAGAATTGTCACCAATCATTATAATGAATTATCATATTTAGATTCTTCTTTTGTGGTCTTTTCTCTATATAGTTTGGCTAAAATAGTTTTTTTTTTATTGCCGCAATTTTTTTTTGATTTGTTGACCGTTTGTTTTTTTTTTATGATAGACAAAACTACACAACACGGGCAAATAATCTAACTTTCAAAATTTATTCAATACAAAAACAAAAGAATGTAAACTCAATACAAGAATCAAAAGTAATATAAACCAATCACAAAAATAAGAAATATCAACCCCTAAAAGAATCATACCAAATGTAAAAACTAATTATAATCCCAATTTTATGCATTGACTGTAAATCTACTGACATGTAAAAATCAATTCTTAACCCATGTACCTTACGCGAAATGATCTGTTACTAACCTTTGCAAATTCTTTTTCGAGATTGTCCATAGATATGCTGAGCTTTGGATTTGCCCATCACTGCTGGCATTTTCCTCCTAAGGTGGCTCATTATGTATGCATTGATCTTTGCAGCTCGAGTTCGCTTCACAAACTCATTAATATACAAAGAAACACACAAAAATGTTCGAATTTCTTTTTCAACTTCGAAATTTTTGAACTGAGATTTGTTAAATTGTGACTCACCTTTCTGTATGTGCTTTTTTTTCTTCTTAAAATTTTGTTTGTGACAATCTCTTGCCCATACGATATCAATATTCTATACATAATTTGTGTTTGTACAAAAAATGTTCATAATACAAGTCACTGCAAGTAGTCCTAGGCATAAAAACTGAAATCCAAAAACTGAAGCGAGCGGAAACGAACTTGAAAGAAAAAATGGTCGATTTAATCCTCAACTAT